ATGAGGGCCTAGTCTGACGAAGCCCAAGTACCCTCTCTTGTACTAACACGGCGATAATAGCTGTAAGCTGGACCGCTCTCGTATCTTGACATGGATTGATGTAAACGTGCAAATTTCCCACTCAATTCCGCAAACCCCGCCCGGGGACAAGAGAGCTCAACAGTTAACTGTGTTGATCCCAAATTGCTGGCATGACCATGAGTGATATTTCGTGACCGAGATCGACCATCCATCGAAAAGGTTAGAGTAAGGAATCTGGCAAGAGAAGAGTTTGTTTCCGCGGGCGGGGTCTCTAGAGTGCCAACTGGTCAGTAGGATAAGATGGCGGGAAGGAGGAGGCATTGCTGTGGTCTCTCAGCGCTTACTTTCTCCGTGGAATTTCGTTGGTGATCCTCGGACCAAACTTAACCACAGTTCTCAAGTGACGGGCACCTTCGGACGGCTACAATCGCCTTTGAATATCTGCTGAGCGTTCTATTCTTGTCAATAATAGGTCAACCGTGCAGAAGGGCGGATACGCCAGACAAATGAAGGAGAGGGAAAAAACGAGATGTCTCGGTAATCACACTTGACTTTTTGAGCGAGTGAGCGTTGTGAACAGTTAAGCCTGGTAAATCAAACCTCCCAATCAAATTAGCTATAGGAAAGGGCTATGCGTCAGAACTAAAAAGTCAATTCCGAGTTGCGCGATCCAAACCGCCAACCGGAGTTGTTCTCTTGGAAAAACCAACTGGACCAACTCCAACCACGCGGCAAGATCCTATGATCAATGCTCTCCAATCTGTTTGAACTAGAGTAAATATGGCCTGATGGACAGGTGTCCGGCGGTAACGGCTAACCGGGATTCGGTTCGTGAGGTAACATCCGGTTATGAATGCAATTACCTGGCGCTGCCCTTGTGGTTCGGAGCTTAGGATAAATCACAAGCACCCATTCGTTGTTCCCCTTCTAAATCACGGCCGTCCGGGCCCACTTGAAGCCTTTGGTACGTGTGAACGGAGTCAGCATGCAAGTAAGCATGTGGCCCAAGTGTTCAGCTCTGAACATGTGCAGTTCCACAATATCGGTATTTGATGTCGAATCACTCCTGAGGGATCTGACGAACGAGCTTGTGAGGGGTAGGTAAATCATAACCCATTCCTCCAAATGACGAAGATGTCTATGTGGGCTATGCTACCTGGCATTCAAATAAGTCAACAGCTGAAGTCGGAAAACCACGGAGCCAACGTGTCCGATTAGAATACGACTTGAAGCTTCTTCTGACGGGAGCCGAATTAATACAAAGGGTTTGCCCTAGTATTATTCATCGCTCCCGGGTTCGGAGGGTTTATGCACGGGTGCGGGTTTTCTGGTATCCTTGTTCTAGTCAACTGAATCGGCAAGTGGGTGTTGAGGGGTCTTGTTCAATTCTAATATCAGGTTGAGATCTCGGCTTCTAGAGCTGGGCCTGTGGGGCATTACGAAGGAAATTATTAAAAGAGAAAATGAAAAGGTGAGTTCTTGATCCTTGCTCGTGATCAATCTTCATGGGCTGTAGCCGATACTGGTAGGATAGCACCAGCGTTAGTAGAAAGGGAAAAAAAAAAAAAAAAAGAGGCTCGAAGCGTTCCACGTTGATGTCTCGGAATACTGTCGGTATTGTGATGTCAAATTGCCTCTGTTACTCTGCCGTTTTTTTTAACAATGGGGGCCGTATCAAAAATTCGCAAAAACAAAAGAAAGTGAAAATATGTTACTGTAAACTAAACTATAGTTAGCACTCATCGACTTGCATTGCGGAGTAAGGATGATGAAGTCTTGTGACCATCCAAGCAGCCCGTGTCATGGTTTTTAGCCATTGGACAATGATAAGACGCACGCAGATAGCAGAGTTTACTCGTACCGTAAGTGACGGAAAACACAGAGAGCTATGAACCTGTCAGGTAGGGAGATCTCCTCCGGGTCACTAGACATCATCGCTTTCTGTTCTTAGCTGCTGCAGCTGTGCTCCTGTTCACTTCTCCGCCGGTGACCCTGACAACAAACTCCGCCCCCATGCTGCAACTTCCGATGCGCTGCGTGTTTGACAGAACCCCGGGTCCCTACAGGGTTTCTGAGAATCACAACCTGGGGTCGGGATTGTTATTGATATTCTTGGCGGGGAAGTTCTTGCCGGAGGATTGCCTTTTAATGCCCCTGCCGAGTGATTACTATTCTACCCCTCGAATACGGCAGCGTACTGTAATTAGAGTGACCGCAGAGCTGCTTCAACCCCGCCGCGGAAAGTTTTTGCCACTGGGACGCACAAAATTGAGATTTCCCCGGGCCTCTCGCGAAGCTGCGGCAAAGGGAGATGGGAGAGCATTATCGTGGTTGAGACAGGGAGTGCCAAAAAGGTCTTCCATGGTCAAAATAATCCATCAAGTTTCCATAGTGGTTTCAGATGCCGGGAAGATCAGCAGGTTGGATACTTGATCAATGATATTATCTTAGGGTTTTCGTGCCCTCGTGCTTCGTGAGAATGTAAAACTCAATATGTTTGTGGGTGCACCCTAAGAATTCGATTAGCAGCCGCGGGAAAAGGGGTGAGGGGATCTCAGAAGTTAGTCCTCACCAAATGGTTTGTTTGTTGTCGATTAGAAATGTCATTTATCTTGCCGGACCCGAAGTGCCACCTGCG